ACTGGTGCAACTGAGCTTCCTCCCAATACAGCTCCTGCAAGGGGAGCCAAGGACAAGTGTGCTCAGCTCTGTTCTACCAAACCTGGTTAAATCCTGCTGGCAGGAAGAACAGGAGGAGCCCATTCCCAGATCCTGCCCTCCAGACGTGCTCCTTGAGCCCTCTTAAAATATCTGGCATCACACACCCTCCATGAAACACCAACTGAACGTGTGCAGCTCCCGGGGCTCGGGGGACCCACAGGTGAGAGGCTGCAAATTTATCTTCTGGAATCTGTAAAGGAGCGAGAAAATCACAGAAACATCGAGGTAAACACAGCCCAGAGCCGGCAGCCTGGCAGGTGATGAATCCATTCAAGAATTAGAGTGCAACAGCACCATGGCAGCACCGGAGCCCTGTTGGATGCTCAGATGTCAGACACTGATGAATCACCACTACTATTATTTTCCTGGATTCCACTTCCCTCCAGGGATTCGCCTCCCAGCACTCACGTAGGAACAGCAGCAGCCCCAGTGTGCTGCTTTCAAGTGCAAGAGCTGCCCCGGGCGCTTTGTTCCGATCGCAAGGGACCCCACGGAGCTGCGCTGGGAGAAGGGAGCGGCCCAGGAGCCCTCCGGCCTCGTACGTGCCGTTCTTCTGTCGCCGCCGTCCCGGGGGAGCGGAGCTGCCGCTTCGGAGGCCGAGCTCTTCCTGCAGCCCGTGTGATGTCTCCTGCTCCGGCCGCTCCGAGGACTTCCCGAGCGAGCTGTGCCTTCACACCTCCAGCGCTCTTGGCCCAGCCACAAAGAGCCGGAGAGGAGCCCCGCAGCACATCCCTGCACACACGGCCCCAGCCAGCCCACCGGGCACGGCTCCGAGCACAGAGAAATCTCCCGAGCCAGGGAGAGCCGAGATGTTCTTGCTGGTCCCGCAGCCAGATTTGCCAGCTCAGACACTCCTCAGCAACCTCAACAACAAATTTTCCTCTCTAAGGCCGCAGAGTTAAAGAACAAGCACCGAAGCGGGATTATCTCTGCTGCAAAGGGACACAGATATGGCCTGGCTATCAAAAATAAAGGTGGATGGCATATAAGAAGTCTTGCTGCTTCAGGCACATCGTCATATTGGCTTGGGCAGCCCTGCATTGACCTGTGAGTGCTGCAGAAGTGGGCAGAGCTGCCTCTGGGGTGGTGCAGGGCATCAGCCCAGCACGGGGGGCTTTGCAAGCAGAGAAGCTGCCATCCATCCCTTCCCGTGGAGGGCAGCTCCACCCCAAAACTGCCCGGGACCGGGGGAATGGGGAGAGGCAGAGGCGCTGGCACTGCCTCCCGAGCCCCATCCCCACTCAAGCCTCCACTGGTACTTCTGAGCTGTTTGCCTGGACAAGACAGAGCCTGTCCTGAGCCCGACTCCAAGAAAAGATTCCCAAGACACAACGCAACCCCTAAGCCACAGAGCAGGTACAAAAACCACCTTTGAGATGGTGCTGCCAGCGACAGGCTGAACTGCCCCGTCTGCCCAAGCCAGGTGAAAGGAATGGATGGTTTTGGATAACTTGCAGGCACCTCTGCATGTTTATTACCCACATTGTGCTGAGCATTAGCACATCAAAGGCTCCTGATGAGCCCTGAATTAAATGATGAGGCATGGGATAGCCCAAGGTGAGGTTGGTAACTGTAGGGCTGCAGGCATTTTGCTGGAAGAGATGGAAAACAAAGAGTGAAATTCCAGGGAAAGCTATTTCCATACTGGAGATTTCAATCATTCGGTAAAACCCTTGGAAAACCAAACAGAAAAACTTCGTTAAGATCGTAAACTTTGGATGAACAAACTTGGATTTTCCTAGTCCCCAGGGTCATTGCCAGATAATAAACGTGTATTATCCTGGAATCTCAAACCGGTGCTTTAAATTATCTGCAAGAACTCATCTCACAACAATGCAGGTGTGTGAATTCTTTAGAAATTGTTTCATTAGAAAACAAAGAAGTCACCATAGGACTGAAAAAAAAAAAACCCAAAACATAAACGGCTCCACCAAAGCAGCTGAATTAAAAAGGAAGGGTTTTGGCTGAGCTGAGTCCAAGGTATGAGAACATAATTTTGAAGAAACTTTTCATTTTTTTCTCTGTGTTTGCTTTTGTGTACTAACCAGCTTCTGGGGTGGAAAGCCAAGTGCCTCTTCCAGCAGGATTTGTGAAGCAAAGCTGCTGCTCGATCCTGGCAGTGCTGAGCCCTGCACGGGGCTCCCAGCAGGTACCAGGCCCAGGGTCCCCTTTATGCTGGTGGCTGGTACAGCCAATCTCCCCAGGAAATCGAGAAATCGTTGTGTTTCCAGGCCAACATCAGCTCTGGAGAAACTGGGCAGGCACTGATGCCCTCTGCAATTCAAACAACCTGTGATTGCTTCATTCAGAGCTGAGCTGCTTCCTGGGCAGAACCTTCAAGAGTTCATACCCCAGATCTTGCAGATCGTGTCCTCTGCACTCCCAATCAACACTTCAGAGCAAAAGGAGAAGTGGTTCTGCTCCCTGCCGAGCCCTGACATCAGGGAAATGAGTCCTCAGCCCCAGCCTTCAAAGCAATTCAGGTTCATGTACAGATGTGTCATTTGGAGCTCCAAATGAATGCAGCGAAAGGTCTTGAACGGGTGCAACACAACTGCTCTGAATATGGAATTATGCTCAAATACTAGAGAAAAGCAAGATTTAGTTCAAATCCCTCAGTCAGCTTTCTCTGTGCAAGATGAGATTATGATTTATAAGTATCTGTTATTACTATTATTATTGAGATCACCTGTGGCTGTCCTCTGACTTAGAAACCTCTGGTGTTCCAGGTCCCAGCCAGAGCTCTGAAAAACACTTTTGGTCCCCAAAAATCAGGTTGCTTTCACAGGCAGGGCCAGGCAGGTCACCCGGGGGTTAAAGAGCAGCTTATCGTTTCAGAAGCTGCAGAATACACACAAAAATACAAAAGAACAAACGCAGGGGCAGGGGCAGGACCTGTGCACAGGCAGCTGCCAGCAAACACTGAATCTGCACTGAAAGCCTGTCTGAACCCCAAGGTCGTTACTACACAGCCCCTGCTGCAGTGCTCCATCACAGATGAGGGTTTTGTTTCATCCACGCTCCACAACCACTGGCAAAAGGAAATCTGGTGCTGTTAAAGCCCAAGAGCTTGGTTAATGTGGTTTCCATCCTTGCAAGACTCTTATCAAAAACCCCTCGGAGCTCAGGCCCTCTGAAAGCAGTGTCTAATCACAGCTGAAGGGAAGGACTGGCCTGCACTACCCCACGGCATATTATTTATTATTAATATTATTAACCCCTCTGCAAGCCTCAGACAGAACTCTCCCTTCCCAGAAGGGCTCTCCAGGCTGTGCAGAGATTATTATTTATGAATAAATTATTTTTATTCAGACACATTCAGGTTGCCTGGGCCGAACACTTTCATTCATGGCTTTCACTGAACCTGCCCTGGCTGTAGTTCAAATTTGGGTAAGGAAAGTAACAAATGTTCTGTAACTGAAAAAAAACCCAAGAGTCATGGTTGCAGCTTCACTTCCCAGGAGTTTCATCCTGTTGGGAGAATGTTGGGAATGTCCTGACAAATCGCTCACCTGGGGAGCTCCTTTGTCTCCATGATTAGAGCCTGGGAGTGGCTTCCTGTGAGACAAAGGATGAGCTGACCGAGAAGGCAAAAGTTACAGCACATCAAGGTGGAACAAAGGTTTGAACTGCTATAAATTCCTTTTTTTTTAGCCAAGAAGCTTTAACAGAAGCTTTGCACAGAAGGCATCCAGCTGTGTGGAGCAGGTTAAGAAAGGCATTTGCTCCCATGTTAAGTCTCTTAATCTTGTTATCTTCTCTTTAACCAACTTAAACTCTTGCTGAGGGGCTGAGGATGGAGCCTAGGTCATTAATGTGTATTTAAGAGGGGAAAGCAGTTCACTTTCTGGATGTGTGAATAATGTTTACCCACGCAGGCATTTTACAGCCTCATTTTCCTCCTGTTATGCTCAATAAAACCAGTGACTCCCCCTCCACCTGACTCTCCTGGGTGACATTTACTCCATTCCAGTATCAAACTCGGAATAATTCTGTGAGGCTTCAACCACCTGCTTTTGACCTTTGCAGCCTATCTGGAAGACTCTTTATTCTACTCACATTGCTTATGCTTCTCTTCCATGTGTTCTGGCTTCCACTTTTCACCAGTCAGGAAGGGAATTTTTCTTTCCACGCCAATCCATGTTCTCCAAGCACCAGGAATCACTTGGGTCTGAAAGCACACCAAGCCACAGAGCAGCCCTACCCCACCTACACCCACCCACAAATCACCCTGGGGAAATATCTGCCTCAGCTTTCATTTTCAGTCTCCTGCTGGACCAAACCTACCCATGGCTCTCACTCACTGGCCATGTCCACAAGAATCCAGCTTTCCCCACAAATGAATCAAAGCACCAGGAATTTACTCTGGAAGAGACACCAGAGCCTGGGAGCATCACTTAAGGCCCAGCATTAAAAACCCAGGGCTGAAACAAAGTACTTAGGTGGGGAAAGGCAAAGTAGCTTGGGTTATGTAAATGACAACTTTTCCCACAGGGTTTGACTTGCCCAGCTGGACACAAACACACCTGAGGGGCCTGAAGAGCTTTAAATGCCCATTTCTTTTATAATCTCAGTTTTCTTTGTTGACTCAGCAGCTGGATTGCTCTGGTATTGCTGCCACCATCTTTGTGAGACAAAAGCAGCCTCTGTGAAAGTGCTCTGGAATCTGAACTCGGCACCTTTGAAAGCTCTGTGGTAGAGGGGATGGTGGGTGCAGAAGACTCCAAGGGATGTTTCTGGCACTGTGCACACACTGCTCACCCTCTGCAATGTTCTGTCATTGCCTCCCATGTGCTTTGAACTCTGGGAGCTGTCTCACCTTCCAGACTGCCATCCAAACTGGCCTTGAAGACTTCCAGGGATGGGAGATACTTTGGATTTTGTACTGTATGTAGGTAACCGAAACATTTCAACAAACCTCAGAAACAGAAAAAGATTTATTAGAAATATTACACAGATTTTGCATCATACATTTTAATAATGTTAATCTTTAAATATTAGCATGTCCAAATCTGCAATGCTTAGTATGTACATTCTAATGTGCTCTTTGTATAAATTAGATTACGATGTAACATCTGTACCCAACAGGGAAAGCTAAAACTGTCAGAGGTGATCATCCCATATGACAAACTCAGGCCTGGACCAACAGTCAATAAAAACATTGTGTCCAGCACTGCCCCATGGGACTTGGCACACGTGCAAGTCAAAAATGGAGAGACCATCAGTTGAGAAAAACAAGTTACTTGCAGTTCAGTGAGAAGCTGGTTCTGCACCATGTCGGTGAGCGAGCGTCGATGGCACTGGAGTTGGTACAAACCAACACAGCTGAGCATAGTAAAACTTATTGCTGGGTTTAGAAATGTCTTCATGCTCCATGCCCTGAGTCTTTTTTAGGCAAAAAGCCCTCTTGTGACAGGGAAATGCATAATCTCATCCCATACAGCCCCTGCCTGTGATCAGATGCACAAGGCTCAGCTTTGCCAAGAGCTGGCCCAGTCAGATCCTTGCTGCTGGTACCCCCAGCACAGCAGGATGAGGGAGGTATGAACAAACCAATGAGCCCAGGCTTGTGTGGTCATTGCCAAGGAAGGGGCAAAGTCAGGGAAGCCAAAAGGTGGATTTTTGAAGAGCTCCAGGTCAGGAATCAAACTGGGAAGAACCAATCCTTCTGCCCACGTGCACTTGGTTTGGACAGAAAACTCTCACAGAAAACTTAAAAAGAACTGGTTGCATGTACAAAACTAGAGAAAACCTATAAAAAACAACTTCAAATCACAGAAAGAAAACTGCTAAACCTCAAAGCACCCTGCATAAGCCCCAAATCCCTCTGCTTAGCATGGCTGCCTTGCTGCAGTGCAGAAGAACGGAAAGTCTTTGTCCCCTTCGTGTTGCCATGACTGTCATGGGCACGGGAAGGGGAGCCTGGCAAAGGCAGCCAACTGTGCTGTGTCCTCTCCTCACCTGCTGAGACCCCACAGGCTGCACTCTTAGGAGGAATGCCCCTCAAGCTGACAGTCCACACAGACTCTCTGATGTCCTTTGTGACAAAGAGCCCCAGGCGTGTCTGTGCCCTGTCGCTGGGCTCTCCCTCAGTCTCACTTTCTGGAAAAGCTCTTCAGCCCTTCTAGAAAAACTCCTCACAGGGCTGGGCTCACTCCTCACACCTCTGTACCTTCCCAAGCCACGAAACAATCTGGACCTTCTCTGTCTCACCTGAAATCCCAGGAGCAGGAGTGCACCTCCCACACTCCAGCTCCGGTCCTCTCCGACACTACAGCACAACGCGCTGCCACATCCCTCCAGGAATGTCACTGGAACCCCCTTCCTAGCCCTTCTTCTCACCTGCTCACCCCAGATCAGCTCTTTGCTTCCCTGCAGTCCCACAGACTCCCCAGGTACACCAGGTACCCAGGTGGTGCCTGTGAGTGACAATTCAGGGAGCAAGGGACAAGATCTATCTGCCTGCGCACCAGGGAAAGATCCATTACTCCTAAGAGGCAAAGTCAGAAAGAATTTAGGCAGTTCAGGCAAACCTACTGCTCAACACTATCCCTGTCATATCATCACATTCAGGACATTTTCAGAGAATTCTCAGAACTTCCATATACTGTCTTTGCTTAACTTAATTGAATTCCCTAACTTTAAAGGCAGCTGGAACTTGGAATTTTGCAGCTCCGATCTGATATATCTCACAAAGGCCTGCAGAGTCTCTGACACCAGGCCTGCAGGATCTCATATAGGATAAATTGATATTTAAATTTTAAGGCAGCATAAAAAACAGCAACTTGTGAATATCAAGGTCTTGAAACGTAACTGTGCAAGGCTTAAAAGGAAGAACCCCCCCCAATATTGTAACAGTTAAATTAACAAATAAACAATACCCTTAATTAAAAAAAATAATCTGGAAAACCGTCTCTCAAAGTATCAAAATGAGATGCTTTGCAGGTTTGAGGATAGAACAGTAACACTGAAGAAAAGGTAAAACCAAGTACCTTCTTCCCTACTACAACTCTGTGTTCTAACTCCTAGCTGAGTAAAAAAATAAGGAATACACCACTAGAATTAGGTAGAATTAGTGTTTGGTCTATGCTACTGAGGAAGCATAGGAGAGCAAGCAGCAAAGAGATGACAGAAACATTGCTTTGTACAAATCATTTGGGAAAAAAAAACCCAATAAAACTGCTGGATCCCCCAGAACAGTCTGTAAGGGTAAAGTGAGCCTTGAGAGACAGAGCAGGAGGTAACACACACCTCGTGGACACTGGGCCACACTGGACACCCTTCCAGTGACCACAGGGTTAAAATTCCCTTTTTCACATCATTTACTCTGACTTTGAGATGTTTACCAGACACTGGGAATTAAAAGCGTTTTTCTCATCCCTGCAAGTGCCCAATCCAAAGCCCACTGAGGAATATGGAATTTTCTGTGCTGACTTCACTCCAGCTTTGAACTCCAGCCTGTTGGAGAGAATTGGGGTCCCTGCCAAGGGACACCTCCAGGGAAAAGAGCTGCTGCATCCACGAGGCAACGGGGCCCTGCAGTGCTCTGCTCAGCAGAGTGTTCCTCTTCCATCTTATCCTGTATTTTAGAGCAACTCATCTTGGGTTCTCTATGGACAGCAGGGTGTGCTGAGAAATCCTGGAGAATGGATTCCATAGAAAGGGCTCCCCTGCAATGAAGTGCCTGTGGCAGCACTCAGCTGCTTGCTCACAGTGCAGGATGACACCCAGTGTGCAGGGGCACTGTCAGTGCTCTCCCCTGGCCATTTTTATCACACAGCCTCTCCAAAGATTGGAACTGGACTTTCCCAGAGGCAATGGATTAGAATAAATTTCAGACTAAAGCCAAGAGCAAGAGATGGTTTTCTCGTCCTCCAGAACAGGCACACACTGCCTTCCTCCAGCATCTCTTTGTTCAAAGCACTCCCTGACCCTGGGCTCTACCATCTATTCCTGAGTCCTGTATTGTGCTGTGAGAACACAAAGTCTGAAATGTGTTGTTTCTTAATTAAATAGCATCATAAAGTAAAATCAAATCAAACAACAAAACACTATGGGGAACCAGAGGCTGAGATCAGCCACCTGCAAAGCCCTTGAAAGCCTGAAACCAATTTTGTTCTCCGAAATCTCGTTTCCATTTCCTGAGCCTTTTTCCAGGAGGCTGAAGCAGTGAGCACTAATATTTTGCAAGACAGAAATGATCCCTAATTCTCTAGGACTAATGTTCACGAAGCATCAGGGTTAAACACAGTAACTAAACACCAACTTTCTCCTACCAGCATGCCCTAAAACAGCCAGGCAGCCTTTACATGCTCTCCCAGACCTGCTCCTAGAACAAATCCAGCAGCCTGTTGGATGCCTCCATCCTCAGAGACAAACACAAAAATTAACTTCATCAGGTGAAATGAGAAGAACAGAGTAATGGACATTAACAGTGTCTGTCAGCATTTTCCTAACAGTGTTACTGAGGTGGGAAGCTGCTCCCTGGCGCCTGAGCTCCGTGGCACAGATGGGTTCCAGTTACACACTCTGTCATCTGTGGAGTGAGGCTGCACCTTCCATTGCTGCTGATATATGACTGTGCTCCTTTACAGCATAACATCATTTCCAAGCATGTACCAGTGCCCCATGGGCTTATTTCGTGGCCCAGGGCACAGGCTGTCTCCAGATTCCTGCCTCTAGGCAGCAATGACATAGCTCTGCTGACCAGACAGGAGCAACACAGAAGGAAGAAGTTACTCCACTCAATCCACAAAAAATATGAGATGTCACTGTATTGCTCACCTCATTACTGGCACCTTCCAAAATAAAGCTATTAAATTGCATTTGCAACGTTTCTGTGATAACTGTGCCTGCACAGTCAGCCAGGAAACCAAGCTCTGGCTTCCCAGAGTAATCAAGTAATGAAGTTGGAGTAATAAACCTATTTTTCCTCAAATAGATTATTTCTGTTTGAGCTGAAATGAAGTCCCAGCACTTAACAGGATCTTTCTGAGTTATTTCACTAACTGGTGATGAACAGAGGGTGGTTTCTGAGTTACAAATGATCCTGTTACCATCCTGCTGGTTATGCTATGAGGAAATTAGTGCAGTTATTGGGTGAGATGCGTGAGAGTAACTCAGGTTAAGGTTCTACAACTTAAGTGCATCTGTCAAGGTATTTTATAAAATACATGGAGGCAAGAAAAGAACATATACTTGGGATGAGTTAAGCATGTTTTGGCAAGAAGAGCATTTTTGTGAGCTTTTGTATTAATATTAATCTCCCAGCCTCCCTTGAGTGCCAGCATAATCCACATTGACTTAAAACTTCATTGTGTAGCAGGTCTCCTGTCAAGGCAAATGTTAGCCCAAGAGATCCTCTTCAGAAATATCCCATGTGTGCTTGAAAACACTTTGCAATTTCCACGTGGGAGTAAGTTTACCAATGGATTTGGTTTGCAAAGGTGGACAACAGGGAATTATTTGGTTGCAGTCCCAGACGGAATCGAAACCACGGAAGAGCTTCCTTTCACACTAAGAGCTTAGGTTGTTGGTTGTGGAAGAGGAGCAAGCAGGTTTTTAAAGTGATCAAGTGCATCTGTAGCATTCTCTGTTCTCTTCCCCACTCGTGTCCACCTCTTGCTCTGCAGCTCAGGTCTCAAAGTACTTGTAGATCTGGGCCACGTACTGCATGACGCTCTGCCAGTCGGGCCGGTCCGTGTACATCATCTCGCTGAGCTCCTGCACAGACACAGCACCACGCTCAGGCAACGCCAGCACGGCTCCTCTGAGCCCCCTCAGCACTTCTGCTTCCACTCCTGAGCCCCTTAAAGCCATCAGGACCATTGGAACCATCCACTGGCCAAGTGCAATTCTGAAATCTGTTAATGCAATCTACAGTCTAAAATCAGCAGTCAAAGATCAGTTCTCTACATGACTTCATTTAAGCTGATCCTTCTTTGCTTCTGAATCTAGTTCATGAATCCCATAATAGTTTTCCCTTCATATTAAACTTCTCCCTCCCTTGTAATATAGTTAATTTTGGGAAAGGTTTTTTGAATAGTTTGACAAACAGTTTAACATCTTTCTGTTTCTTAAAGCACTAAAACAAAAGGAAATAAAATGGTGCAACCATTAATGTAATGGTGCAATATGGCAAGTCTGTCCATAAAATTATGAATAATCTGCAGCTGGCATCCAAAAGAAGGACATAATCCATACCTTCATTTCAATACTGGATGACCTTTAGCAATTCCTCCAAATTGTATTTATTCTGTGATTCTACAAATTCTTTCTTAAAGTTCTCCTAGCACCATCCTGATGATGGTGGTGCAGCCCTCCCCACTGTGTGACACTTTGAGTGCAAGGTCACTGACATGGCAACAAGGAAAGGTGTTAGAATGGTGTTTGCAGCAAAAGCCCCCTTGCTAAAAGGTTACTCACCAGACTGGGTTTGATGCCCACACTTTCAGCAGCTTGAAATGCCAACAGCAGATTTCTCTTCTGTAAAAATGAAAGTCCAAAAGGATTAACATCAAAGCACTATTCCTGAACTTTTCCTTACATCTGGTTACCCAGTAAGTTTAAATGAGCAGGTGTATTTGAAAACTAAACCCCTGGGTTCATACTTGCATGCAGACTCTTTTTTGAGTCTTATTCACTCAAAAGTTCTTTGAATAGCTCATCTACTTCTGCCTGAGTGGCACCCTCAGTTTTTGACAAATAGTTGTGAAACTGGGGACAGCTGGGTGAAAACCCACGGAAGTTCTGTCTTTGCTATGAGTGAAAGGTTTCTGCTGAGGTTTTAATTAGTATTAGGCATTCTTGTACATAATATAATTCTAACTGTGATAGATATTGTTTGTGTGTTTATTTGCAGCACTCACTGGACTCAGTCAACTTGTCACTGACTCTTCACCCAGCATTCCCTGCATTTCTCTCCGGGAGTTCACTGTGGGTTTCCCTCTCCTTTTCATCCATTCTGTTCATTGTGAATTCTGCAAATGTACTACACAACTTACTTTGTCCTGGCTGTTGAGCTCCTGGTAAGGAATATGTGCAGGCAAATATGTGTGTAGGAGAGCACAAAAGGCCAGCCCATCACTCCAGCTGCTGCTGAAGTTGGTAATATCAATATTCTGTAAAAGAAAACATGAGCCATCCTTGAACAGTGCTGCACAACAACAACAAAAAAATCTCTAAACAATAGTTCCATGCAGCCATGGAACAAAAAACCCAGAGGTGAGCTAGAAATATCTGTGGCAACACTCCCACCACTGCCGCCTCCAAAAGGAGGGAAGTGAAGAAGAAAAATTTGCAAATAAATAGTCTAATAGAGTTGTGAGTTTACATGGACAAGAACCATCTTCCTTGCCTTGTTTCTAGACACTTGGATTGTTTTTTGCTAGCCACATCTCTAACTACAAGGCTGCACTCAGGTGCACAGAGCAAGCCCAGTTTCCCTGTTCATGACAGCTGAGGTCCAGAACCATGGGAGTTGCAGTGACTACAGAAACAGAAAATAATATTTTGCAGTCAGCCCATCTGCAGAGAACTCCTTTAAAACACAAGATTTCTGGGGATACAGAGTGCACTCGGGGTTCTTCCCTGGATGCTCTCACAGGACACAGCTGCAGTTAAAACAGGCCCATGGCCCAGTTCTGCTCCTGTGAACAAGGTGACCTTTCTGATGCTCCTGTCTGCACTGCCTGGCCATACCAGCACACTAAGGAATTCCCACGGCCAAGTCTTGCTGCTGTAGTTGCAAATAGCAGCTAAAAACAGAACAGTGAACTGATACTGAGCAAGAGCTGCTGGAGCAGGGAGCCTCTGGGACATGATGGAGCTGCAGCATCTCCCACCCTCCTGCAGGTGTGGAGTCACCTCCAGCCCTCCTCAGCAGCCACTTCCTCCTGGGTGCTCAGCTTCAGTTCACACTCCCCACCTCTGCATTTTCTTTAGTTAGCTGTTTTCTCATTTCTTTCAAGACTCCCCCAAAGACAAGGCTTTTACTGCATCTCTCATACAACAGCTGATGCACACATTAAAACCCAGACAGGAATTATTTCAGCATGTGCTCCTTGTTTCTAATGCCTCACTGATTAGTTATCCAACCTGGATTTGGTCCAATCTGACAGGATTTCCAGTTAGTAATAAATGTCCATAACCAAATATGACTCAAATTGAGAGAATATTTCAGGTTAAAATACTTTGTCTGTAATAAATCTACAACTCTAATGGGCTCAGAAAGTAGCTGACACCCCCCCACTGCATCAACCATCACGCTGTAGGACTCTATTAACATCTGTCAGTGGAGACAATACAAAAATGAAGCACTGGCTGAACACTGCCACAAGAAAAAAAACCAAAAAAACCAGCTTTGCTCTGAAAGCTGACTGGGCATTGCCTATTCCATAAAATTCCAACTTTTTAGTTGGAAGTCCAACTTTGTGCGTATGGAATTGGATGAGCTGGATTATTCTGCTTTCTTGAAGCTTCAGACAAACAAGTTCCTTTCTATTTATCAATCTGCAGTTAGTGGGAAAGGACTGACTGCCAAGTTACAAAAGTGTTTTTACTGAGGCCAATATGTTTTATCAGCAAATAGCTTATCATCAAATACCAATATTCTCATTTTATACTGTAGGAAAGAAATGGAAAATGGAGGTTGTTTCTCCTCTTTCCCAAAGGCCATGGAAACAGGAACAAACAGAGCCTTAGTTATGCAATGGGACTAGACAAAAAGGCAAAGCTTGTTTGTGTAGGAACGTTGTATCTATCCTCTTTTCATGATGCTACTATGAGACATGTGAGATACAGAACTGCTCCTTCACACAGTATTTCACTATCCCAGAATCAGTTTAATAATTTTACTTATCTTTGTAATTTTAAATACACCTAAAGCTCTTCTCCTCTTCCCAAATCACAATATCTACACATAAGAAGTGCTCATGTCTACACCAAAACTAGGTCAAAAAATCCTCACCTCCCCAACAAGCATTGTCCAGCCAGTCATCCTCAGTAACTTTTGGATCTAAGTCTTACAAACAAGCAAAAGTTCAAGGATAGGATTCTGCTGACCATGTTTGTACCACAGATGAAATCTGCTGCAAAGTGGTTTGCCACAATCAACAGCCAAAATGAACTCAAATCTGAATTTTTGTCCTAAATGCAAACCCAAAACGAACATTCAAAGGTTCAGCTCAACTGTTCAGTTCACAGTACAATAAAAAATATCTAGGCATACTCAAGCCCACTTAGTTCCATTTTTACAGCTAGCAAGAATCAATTAATGTTGGGGTTTTTTTCCTTTAAATAAATGCATTTCTATTTCATACACAGTCCAAACCCCTCTCCCTGGCACTTTATCTTGGCTTCTGTGTTAGATACTTTTCAGTTTGGGATATAAGGACATGGTAAATGAAAAGTGATCTGTGTTTTGCTACACTGCAGCTTTATTTGTAGTACCTCCCCACTCCACCACACCAAGAGGAATTAAGTCAAAATAGAAACAACTCTGATTTCTCGTAAGATCTCTGGCTCCCCTGAAGCCATTATAAAAAAAAAAAAAAAAGGAAAACAATTTAGGGAATGAACACCTCGGAAACTATTCCCTTCTCTTGATTATTTTGGCAGCAGAACCCGTCTCAGTCTTGCTGCCACACCTCTCTCCCTATTCCCCAACACACAGCCCCTGAATATGTGGGAGCTATTTGTGTCCATGCTGGTTGTTAATGCACAATCCCAAACTGCAGGAGGGTGATTTCTGTGTCCCAGTGTGCTCACAGCAGAACCCCCACCCCAAGTTCTGAAAAACTGCATGTGGCTCCTCATGAGACACCCAGAAAGGATGGCACACACTCTGAACCATCAGAATGAGTGCAGGGAGAAATGGGAAAATGCAGCAGGGATTCAGATCAAACTGAGTTGCAGCATTCACCAGGAAGGGGAGGGGGGAAATTTGCTGTAATACAGCCACAGTACATCCTGTGGTCAGTGGCATCCCAGGGCCTGTCCCCAGCACTCCTGCAGTGTCACCCATCAGTGGAAACACATTTAATTCTCTTCAAGTTCACATGTGAACTACTCTACATGCACTGGGAATGATCACACATTGGGATCTGGAAGCACATCAGGGAGCACAGCTATCACAGTACCCAGTAGGGTCTGTTTCTATGGACATTAAAGTTAAAAAAAAAAAAAAAAGAAATATCCAGGCAATGTTATTTGGAAAATAAATGTACAATCTAGGATATTAGTGTCAGGTCAAGCCTAAAAGACACAAAACACCTGGAAGTGATTGACCTTAGCCCCCCATTCCAGGAACAGGACCTTTCCTGCCGATAACAGAGCCCTTGGAGAGCCCTGCTACAGACACCCAGGGAAATCTGTGTGATCTGTTCTCACTAAAAACAATTCTTTGTTTGTCTGAGGAACAAACCACCACCCCATTAGATTTCACTCGATCTTTGACTCCAAGCAAAAAGCAACAATGACATCATGCACTCTTCATTACAGTCTGAGTAGGTTAAAATCCTGATACAAGATATTCCCACTATGCACGTGTTACTGTGCCCACAGCAATGGCTCTGAGTCATAATTTTCTCCCTGAGAGCCAAAATTATCAATTACAGACATGAATCAGCTTGAAGCTAGCCTGGAACTCTGAGGAAGAAAGCCTGCAAGAAATACAACCTGAGCATCATTATTCCATTCTCTCAGCATCCAGCATCCCTTCCTGCCTCTCCCATGTTATTGGTATGGAATGGCACACCAGGAACCTGCCAGAATGGCTGATCATGGAGGTTCAGCCCATGCAGAATATAAAATTAAATACTTGAAAATAAATCTATTAAGCAAATAGATTCAATTTATTGCATCTATTCAATTTCCTTGTTTTTAATAGCAGTTCTCCTTCCAGTGGCTCAGCTTCCTCCAGCTCATCACTACCCAGGCCCCCACAGCTTCTCTTGAACAGCTCACTGGTTTTATGTGGATATGTTTAAACTCATGTCTGAACAGAAGCCACAGCTCTGCACATCTGAACCCTGACCTTTCTAATGCAAAATGGATCAAGGTACCTTGGCAGGCAACTTCCAAAGAGGACCCAAACCTACCCATCTTTAACAACTGCTGCATGAAACTGCAGCTCTAATTTGATTTATTACACCCTAACTGGCTGGGGCCAGGTTAACAGGGTTCAGCCAAAGAGGTTCTATTCAAAGGAATCTTCAGGCTCTCACTGGGCATTTTCCAAACACTTCCTAAGAAGTAACATGAGGAAAGGATGGCTCCTTTCAGCCTTCTTAACAAACAAAACACTCCAGTTCATCTGAAATGCTCCAGCAAAGATATGAAACATCTGGGCAATCTACTGGAACTATGAGTGAATGAGAAGTGTGGTAAAGTCCAGTTAACAGGGATGAAAGGCATGAATGCCTGAAATTAAAGGCTGCTTGGATTCTTCTGTAATTGCAGGGTACACCCAGATGACAACTGAACACAGCTATTTTCAATGGAGAGCTGCAAGTCTGAAGTGATTTGTACATCACATTTAGTCCATCTACTACCAGGAAGCTTTCTGAATTCTCTTACCAATTTTTTCCTCTTAAATGGAATACAAAATGAAGTAATGCCTTGTGATTAAAAGAAATCAAACCAGCAATGTATTGTAGAGAGATTAAGTGGGTAGCCAGGACCGGGAAGGAAGCCAGGTGACCTCCTATCCTCCAGCCTGTATTAATATCCCTGGTTCAAATGGCCCAGCCAACTGCAGTCTCCAGAAAAATTGCTTTAAATTTCTTTAAAATGTTGTGTTTTTTATCCCATAATCCATATTTCTAATGCTTCTCTCAGCATGTCAGTTAGCCATGCATCTTATTGCTGATTACACATGCATGGAACAGCAGAGCTCAGATCACAAAATGCTCTCTGAAAATGCAGTTAAATCATGCCATAACAGCACTATGAACTGAAAAGGAACTGATGCCAGCTCTTTAGAAGTCATGCCATTTACTGAATTTCTTTTTATAAAGAATCCCTGCTTCCCATCATATTTTTAGGTTCTGTTTGCTCCTTTCTCCACTGCTGCCACAGGTGCTGCTTCGGGTTTACTATTCATCATTTGCTTAGTAAGTGT